GCTGCCGGAGGAGCTGTAGAAAGGGGGAGTTCCGCATAGGAACTTGCCCCAACATCTATGCCTGCTGTCTGAAAACGATGCCAACCCAGTGATTCTTCTGACATACTGAGACTCGGTGGGGCTCTGTCCCCACAATAGCTGGAACCCTGAGCCTTCCCTTCCTGAGTCTTCACAGCAGGAACATTCCCAGTGGCCCCCGCTAATCCAATTACAGTAAAACCTTGGATTGTGAGTCACTTGTTCTGCGAGTGTTCCACGAGATGAGCAAATGTTTCTAATAAACTTTAACTTGATAAAAGAGCGATGTCTTGTAATGCAAGTATTGTGTGATGCCGAATGTCACATGATCACAACTGAACCAATGGCCCTTGAAATTAGCTTTGATATGCAAGTCCTTTGGATGACAAGCATGTTTGTGGAACAAATCATGCTCACAAACCAAGGTTTTACTGTCCTGAGAATTTGCTAAGTGACTTCACTTAGTCCAGAGTCTAGTAGGAGCCTCAAAATGGCCTTGTGTGGTTGGGAGAAGGGAAAAAGCAAAGTGGGTTAAGCCAGAGTTTCAACATAACAGCTGAAGCAAAAAATAATTTAATCAATCACAAGACCAAGTGAACTTCTTTCAGATTTTTGGCCTGAACTGCATTAACTGAGCTTGGTAGCAAGAGTTTTCTCTTCTGATCAGTTTTGCACAGGAGTTATTAATGTCTTTTGTTATTTAAAACAGGAAATAAATCAATATTAAGTGCAATTTGTTTGGCATACACTGTAATTCAAGGCATAGACCTCTGGGAAGCAAGACAAAAGAAATGCTATGTGATGACAAGGGACTGGCCCGTATGGATGTCTGTGGAGAGTCATGTACTCCAGACATGGGACAGAGCTGATTTGCCTCCGTTCACACTCACTGTCCTGAAATCTGGTAAGGAAAGGGGAGCCCTAAAACATTTGACTTCTCTTTCCGTTCCCAACGTTATTTTGGGATAAGGAAATGATTAGTGGTGAAAAGCTTCTTTCTATAAAAGTAGCCCAGCTAATAAATGACAAAGAATGATATGCAGGAGAATATCACTATTTTGCAAACCTGTAAGGAAATAATGACCTAGCCCATGACCATCAAGAGCCCCACTCAAATAAACAAGAATAGGGGTGCCCGGGTGGCTTAGTTGGTTAAGAGTCTGACTTTGGCTCAGGTCATCATTCATGAGTTTGAATCCTGCATTAGGCTCTGTGCTGACAGCTCAGAGCCTGGAGCCTGCTTCAGATTCTGTGTCTTCCTCTCTCTCTGCCCCTTCCCCACTCAAGCTCTGTCTCTCAAAAATAAATAAACATCAAATAAACATGAACAACCACTTGATATTACATGCCTCTGAAGAGATGTACACAGAGCCACCCAGGAGCTGTTAAGCTGTGCCTTTTTTACCCAAACATACTCAGCTCATCATGTCGCTTCTTCTGAAAATACATTGGAATACGTAATTCAGACAAAAGGACTCCTATACATATATATATGTATGTGTATGTATATATATCCATTGGTCCCGCCTTTTTAAGGGTGTTCTTTGCCTAAGGATTGGGCAGGACTTGTTTGATATTAAGATCTGGACAGAGGAAGTGAGGTGTGAGTCTCTTCGGCTCAATTTCCTCATCCAATTAGATGAAATGATTTTAATGAATTAGAACATTCCTTTAGCAGAGTGCTGGTTATTAAAATACTGTTATAGTTTGGGGCGCCTGGGTGGCTTAGTCGGTTAAGCGTCCGACTTTTGCTTAGGTCATGATCTCGCGGTTCGTGGGTTCGAGCCCCGCGTTGGGCTCTGTGCTGACGGCCAGCTCAAAGCCTGGAGCCTGTTTCAGTCTGTGACTCCCTCTCTCTCTGACCCTCCCCTGCTCACGCTGTCTCTCTCTCTCTCTCCTAGAAATAAATAAAACATTAAAAATTTTTTTAAAAAAATAAAATACTGTTATATTTTGACTCACGATTTGTCATTATTAATAGCTGAATATTTGACTGGGCTTTCTTTCTTTTTTTCTTCTTATAGGGAAGGCAAACTTCTGTAGGGATAAGTTGTCTACATACTCTAAAATTTACATCTTTTTAAAAAGTTTATTTTTTGAGACAGATAGAAAGAGAAAGAGAATGCACAAGCAGGGGAGGGGCAGAGTGCCGGACGCCGGCTCCGGCAGGTCCAGGGGTCATCGAAGGATGGACGGTGTTGGCGAGAGAGAGAGCCCTGAGATTCGTTCTGATCACCAGGCAGTTATCTCTGTCCTGTCGGTTTGGGTGTCTTTATTTAAAGGTTCAGCAGCAACATGAAGTCAGAGAAAGGAATTTCTACAATGGGAGGCCTCTTGCGATAACAATTGCAGAACTATCTCAGTCATAGTGAATTTACAACGAAGGAATTAACAGGATGCTCTTAGTGAAAAACAGGGGAAAATATAGGTTAAATTGTATATATATAAGCTAGGAGTCATTCTGTTTGGCTCTCAAGAGGATGAATGTTTCTGAATTGGTTTGTTTGTGGAAACTATTATGGGGGCCCTAAATGTGTCAGTCTTTGCACCTGGGTTTATATTTTAGCTACTCTTATCTATCCTCATCCCAGTTGCCAGAGTAAGGGAGGGTGTTTGTGGAATGTAGGCCTTGAGGAAGGGACTGCCATGTTTCACCAATTAGCAAAGATATATGTAGTAGCTGTGTTTTGCCCTTAACCCCAAAATAGGCTCTTTGTCTCGGGGCCAGGCTGAATTGTAACTCTTGTGTTCTTAATCTCCTTTATTATGCAAGTCTTGGGTCTGCAAGGCCCATAGGAAGAGCCTTTTGACAATCATCCAAGGTGCTTTTATCTAAAATCTCTCTTGCAAAGGCAGGAATATGCTTTTCCTTATGAGGTATCTGTGTTCAGAATATGGGTCTGATCTGGAATATTGTGAGGCCTGGTCAATACCAGCAGGCTCATTTCCAATATGAGCCAGTAGTAGCAGAAAGAGATACCAGTTTTCGTTTCTCATGGCAGGAGCTGTACAAACACTGCCATTTCCTTGCTGTGACTGCCATCCAGAGAGGCCGGTGTGTCTCCCGGCAGCAGATAGAAGGAAAGAGACAGAATCCCAAGCAGGCTCCACACCATCAGTGATGAGCCCAATGCGGGGCTTGAACTCAGAAACAGCGATATCATGACCTGAGCTGAAATCAAGAGTTGAACACTTAACCCACTGCACCACCCAGGCACCCTTAAAATTTGCATCTATTATAAGAGATCCCAATACCTACAAATACAAACACAACCATAAGCACAGCTTTCCGGCTAGAGATAAAGGTAAAATGGTGTACAGGTGAGGGGATAAGAGCATCTTTATTGGAATTAGGGTCACAGCAACGTCCCACCCCCTACTTGACTAGCTACTTTCTTCCAACATCCAATCATCAGTACCTGGTGGCCTCTGTGATTAGTGACCCTTATCAGAGGCCAGTTCCTCCTGTCTCCACCAGGGTCCCCAATGTTCTCTTCAAATTGGAAGATATCCTAATGCCTAAACTTCAAAGGATGGGATTGATCTATGCTAGCACCTGTGTTCCCAGGACTGAAATCGCCCCGAGCCCTGGAGGAGTAGCTGCTGCATGATGGCCTGGGGCTCTGTGCACACCTGTTGGCGACCTCAAACCTTCGCCGATTCACTAGGGCTTCCCCGGATGTCCGGGCTCCGCTTGGGCTACTGCTGCCTTCCTCATCTGCTCCTGCCTCTCTCCACGTAGAGCAGAATGATGTTCATTTACACAAATGACCTTAGACATTGTCTTTGGACCAATACGTGACTGCAGATGAGACACATGTGACAAGCACTACCCTTTCCAACATCACTGATGCTGTATTGGATGTTTGATGGTTGTAACCCTCTTGAGCCAAAGCCCACGTTTCTCTGGTGGCGTCCAGAACAGGCTGCCTGGGGGATGCATGCCTGAGATAACACAGTGAAGTAAAACTCATCCCTGCTAAGAAGAAGATGGGAGACAAGGGGCAGAAGAGCCTTTTGTTCAATTATTATGAGGGGTGCCTGGGTGGCTCAGTCAGTTAAGCGTCTGACTCTTGGTTTAAGCCCAGGTAATGATCTCACAGTTTGTGAGTTTGAGCCCCACATCAAGCTCTGTGCTGACAGAGCTGAGCCTGCTTGGGATTCTCTCTCTCCCTCTCTCTGCCTCTCCCCTACTTGCTCTCTCTGTATCTCTCTCAAAATAAATTAACTTAAAAATATTATAAAAAGAGAAAACTCAGACTCAGTTACAGATTTTTTTTTTTTTAAAGCAGAACAGAATTGGACCCAATGGTATTAGTAGTTTCTGAGGAAAAGACGACAATGGAAAGAGGGGAGAAAAATGAAGAGTCAGATGAATTAAAATAAAAGTGGAGAGTTCACAGGGGTGAAGGAGAAGTGGAGGAGGCCAAGGAACAGGGGGAGAAAGAGCAGAAAGGAAATCTGGAAAGAATTTGGAATCACCCACACAACTTCAGGAAATAGTTGTCAAGAATCAGGCCATCCCCCAAATGTTTGACATTTTTCTGCATGATTTTTTACACTAAAATAAATACATTCAGAAGCCAGGATAGAAGCCAAACAACAGCCATATTTACGCCCCCCTCCCTGCCTTTTCGACCTGCACCAGCACTTAAACACCTGAGAAAATTGGTGCTTTTCTGTGTTAACGACACTTGTCCCCTCTCTTTCCTCCTGCTCCTCTACTCTTTGCTCCGTCCTCTCTTTTTCGCCAAACCCACCCAGGGCATTCAGGCATACTGTTCACTTCCTGAGGACAAAGGCTCAAATGTTTGTGCCGCTGGCCATGGGAAAATAGTGCATCCGATTGTCCTCTGTGTCGGAGAAACTGTTCCGGATCTCAGCTCTTCCCCCCTGCAGCCCCCGTCCTGCACCCCGGGGCTATAAAGGGAGCCCTGTTGCCTGCTCCCAAGACTTCCTCAGCCAGCTGTCCCCTTGGTGACATGAAGCCATCTCTCTCTCCATTCCTCAGCTTTCTCCTTGTGGCTCTGATGTTCGCAGGTAAATGGGAAACGTGACCTAGCCCTGGGGCCGGAGTCTCTCCACAATGGTCCTTTCCAGGTGGGGCCGTGAGACACTGAGCCCACAGGCTCATTTTCTGGTGGGCTTCTCGGGCAGCAGCCTGTTGATGGGTTTGTAGGTGACCCTTGAATGTGCTGATGGCCCTGGCTCCCCAGCAGACAAGGTCCTGACCTTGACTACACTTCCTTAGCCTTTTAATATTCACCTACTCCTCATAGAGGAGGGAGCCTGCATCATAAAGGACCATAAGTTTTGGGGAGTCTCACTCAACAACTATATGGGCGATACCCTAGTGAGGTGCTCAGCTTGGGTTCCAGGAGGTACTCAGCCTCCACTGGCGGCCCTCTTCAGTCCTCATTCACCTCTCCCTCCCCCCCCTCCATTTATCTCCCTTTCTCTCTCCCTCTCCTTCTCTCTCTATCTCTCTCATACTGTCTCTCTCCCTTTCTCTCTCGCTCTCCTTCTTTCTTTCAGTCTATCCCTCATACTCTCTCTCTCCCCCTTCCCCCTTCTCTCCCTTTCCCTCTCTCTTTCTGTCTCTGTTTCTCTCTCTCTCACACACACACACTATTTGCCCTGCTTCCCACCCATTCCATGCCATTCTCTACTTGCTGTCTTTATTGCTTTCTTGAGGTACGCTTATTATACACAAAAACCCACACCCATTTAATGTGAACAATTTGAGGAGTCTGGACATTTGCAAACACTCCTGGTACCATCACTGAAGCCAAGGCAATAGCCCCCTGGGACACCTCCCAAAGTTTCCTTCTGTCCCTTTGTGGTGTTGTTTTCTTGGGGTGAGAACACTTAAAAGACCCGCTCTGAAGTGCACAACACTGTCCTGCTACGTGTAGGCAGGCGCTTTACAGCTTGTCTCGGGAATGCGGCCACACTGCAGGACCGACGCTTTGTACCCACCGAGCAGTCTCTCCCCACCCTCCACGTTACCCTCCCCCCAGAGTGAGGCACCTCACCCTCGTGGGTCTTCTCCAAAGAGAGAGAGAGAGCTCTGAAAATGCTCTGCGTGTATCTACCCTGAAACAGGACTGTCCGGAGGCAGAAATGCGGGCCACCAAGGCACCGCGGGTCCGAGAGGACCGAGGGAAGAGTCTCCCGGACAAGGAACAGAGGGGTCACACTTGCTACACCGCCAAGAAAAACGCCACGTCTTACCACGTACTCCCCCTTACAAGGGTAAGAAGCTGCAGGCATGGTGGGTAAATGAAGACCTGGGAAGGGGTCTGCCTGCGGGGTAAGGCAGAGCTCTGGTGGAGGTCGGGGTGGGCTGTGTCTAAGAAGATACTACGTAGATGGCTGGGGTTGCCCCACCTCTCAGGAAGGTCATGGGGTCTGACAGCCTCCCCTGATGGACGACCCAGGGTCGCTCGAAACTGAAGAGGCAAAAGTGTTTAAGGTGACTTGTATAATCTCTGGCTTCACCCACCCGGGATAGCCCGAGGACGCGACACTGAGTAAGACACCCTCCTCCTGCCCGCTCCCTTGACCTTGAGTTCATTCGCTCTTCAGGAATTTGCTGAACACCTGCTAAGTGCGGGGTGATGGTGAGCTTGCAGGTAATGCCCCAGGGTTGGGTGTAGCGAGGGGCCACTGGCCTGAGGAAGACCGGATGACGAAGCCAAAGAGCCCGCAGCCCAACCGCTTTACTGGTTGGTCCTGAACCTCCATGTGGAGCCAGAAACCAATCTGGAAGGACTTAGAGAAGACAGTCATTTCTAAGGTGCTGCCTTAGTCCCAAACTCTTTCCCGACCCTGAGTCAGGGAACAGGAGGCTGGATGCTCGGTGGGCAAGACCAGGGGACACACCAGGGTGTAGGCAGAGGGAAGCCAGGAATTCAAATCCTGCGACACTATTCCCTGCACCATCCTCTCCTCTCTCGGATCCCTTTGGAGGTGGCTCTGGCCTCCCTGGGACTCACTAGTCTGGCTCCCCTCCCAAGGGAAGGGGAAAAGACAAGACCATGCTTGCACAACAGTATAAACAACACGAGGCATGAGTCACTTATCCACGTGTAAGTCTATGAGACAGGGTTACTATTCCCATTTGATTCATGAGGGCATTGCAGAGATTTGTCCATATTTGTCCAAAATAACTTGTCCAAGATCAGCAAGCTGGCAATGGAAGTCCACAGTGGAACCTTCAAGAATATAGGCAAGACTTCTGAGCGCTGTCATCCAGGACGGGGTCTCAGTCCACTACCTTTAAGACACATCTGTTTCTTTCTCCCCTATACCCTGTACTCGCTTCTGCCTACACGTCTCTGTGGGGGTCACTCGCTCTTGAGGTTTTACTTGCCTTCCCGCTTGTGATTTCCATCCTCAGCGAGTGTCCTCTCTACATTCAGACCAGCCTTGGTTTGAGTCTGCTCTGGCCCAGTGCCACACACGGAGTGCGACCTTGTGACGGGTCATCACTGACCACCCCCATCTTACTCCCCGATTCAGAGAAGTAATTAAGACAGAGAATTTCCTCTGTAATAAGTATTTTTGCAATACGAAATTTCCCCAGACTTGTTATTTCCTACTGTTATTTCGACTTCCCATTTCATTTGAGTCTACTGGAAAAATACTTTTTATGAAGAGAATTCTCTCCCTTAATGGTTTCTTCTCGGAATTGGGGAAGGAATCTCATCACTTCCTGTATTAACATAATACTTTGATCTGTGTCTGGAAATGCAGTCTCTCGAAAGTATAGCTTGAAAATTAACAATTAAGAGAACGCACCCTAAAGTACTCACCCAGCTGTCAAAGCCCGTGTTGGTCTGGCATCGCGCTGTCTTATCCGCATTTCCCACCATTATCTGTCACCGTTGTGGTTCTCAAGCCACATGGTGATTCCTAGGAAATACTCTGCTCTTTCGTGTCTTTTTGCACAACCATGTGAAGCACGTCTAGCGTTAGCTCCAGACACCATTTCGACACTACAATTAACATCCATTTAAACTTGATAATCTCTGTGACCTTATTTGGCTGTTCTCTATGCTCCCAAATCACTCTATGCAGACTCGACATTGGATGGATTATACTGAATTTAAACGTGTGGTTACGTGTTTGTTTCCCGGCTGACCCAGAGAATGTCCCCTCCCCGCACTCGGTTACGGCACACTAAAATGTCCTACATCATTTTGCCCTGAAGGAGTGAGCAAGTGAGTTAATTTACCAAGTGAATAAACATCTGTAGGGGCCCCGCATCTGTTCTACTTTTGTCTTTCTCTCTTTCTATGATTATCCCTTTCTCTCTCAAAAGTTATTAACTTTCTGTATATAACAGTGTGTTTAACAAGGTACAAAAATAGAATTTACAGCAGGGACTCAGGGCACTATTGAGTCGGGAGGCAGACCACTCTACACCGAGGACACAACCAAAATCGAGCGACACAAGCCTTAAATGCTTGGGTGACTAGCACGTGGAGATGCCCCTCCTTCTCCTGAGGGCAAGGGCTTGGGGGCCCTGCTTCCAAATGGAGCCACAGGTTTCTTTTTATTATTATTATTCTTTTTCATTTTTTTAATGTTTGCTTATATTTTGAGAGAGAGAGAGAGAGAGAGAGAGAGCACCAGAGCATGAGCTGAGAAGGGGAAGAGAGAGGGAGACACAGAATCGGAAGTAGGCTCCAGGCTCCGAGCTGTCAGCACAGAGCCTGACGCAGGGCTCAAACTCATGAACTAAGAGATCATGACCTGAGCTGAAGTCGGATGCTCAACCAACTGAGCCCCCCAGGTGTCTAGCCACGGGTCTGGGCAGGCTCACCTGCAGAACTTGCTTTGTGTCTCCTGCTCTGTGGGGCGACAGGGAACTGCATCCCTTCTGCCTCCAAAATCCACAGGTGGGAGTTGCTCAGGTAAGCGCCATGGGCAGCAGGCACAGAGGAGAGACTGGTGGTACTCTGGAATAGGCTTGTTATTCATTGGGTGTAGGGGCTCAGTGATGCTAGATGAATCCATTCTAGAAACCTGCTGTACAAGTGCCTGTAGTGAACAATGCCGTATTGTGCACTTCAAAATAGGCCGAGAAGCTAGCTCTTTGTTCAGTGCTCTTACCACAAGGAGAACAAGAAACAAAACAGTGGAAACAAAGGGACACAAGAAAGCTTCGGTAGGTGACACATACATTCACTGCCTTGATGGCGGTGATGGCATCATGGGGTATCGGAAATCTGAGCTCATCACATGGTTCACATGCTATCTGTGCAGGGTTTGTATCCCCACGTGTATGTGTAAGAAAGGAGGGCCCCTGGTCAGACCATGAAGCGATAAGAAACTCATTATAATTGATCAATTAACTCATTGTTTTGGCCAATAATTGTAATGCCTCCCGGTGCAACAGATTAGGGCAGGAAGAGGGTGACATCACTCCGCATTTCACCTGTCTGAAGGTCACACCTTTGATCGGTGCCAGAGTTTGTAATACCCAGAGCATCCTCCGCAGTCTCAGAAGCCTACCCTGGCCAGACACTTACCTCTCATTCCCTGATACTGCGCCTCTCCTTTCATGCTGTGCATCTATTTTTTCTTCTTTTTTACTTTTTTAAAGTTTTATTTCCTTTATCTTTGAGAGAGAGAGAAAGATAGTGCGAGCAGGGGGAAGAGGCAGAGAGAAAGGGAGAGAGAGGATCCCAAGCAGACTCCACACGGTCAGTGCAGAGGCCAACCCGGGGCTCAAACTCATGAACCATGAGATCGTGACCTGAGCTGAAATCGAGAGCCGGGTGCTTATCCAACCGAGACATCAGGCACCCCACTTTTTCTTTTTAATACTTGCCCCTTGCTCTTTCTATCAATTATCTTCATGTGTATAATAGGAGACAAAAATTCATCTTTGCTAATCTCAGGGTTTGAACTGTAGAGTGAGCTGCCAACTTCACGCTCCTCAAGTTAACTGACACATCTTCAAGGCACCAGACAGTTTTCCAGGCGCTCCCTCAGAATAAGGGGAAACTAGAGGTCATTTTCACTCTTAAAATCTTACCTTGGTTACCTCGCATCATCTCCTTTACAGAGACAGATCAGCCCCACACCACCCTCCTCGCAGGAGACCATCCCACTGAAGTCCGTGTTTGGGAGGACTGTATCACTGCTCGGTCTGCCTCACAGAGCCCCTTTGTGTCCCCTTGCACAACATCCTATGTTGTTGTAAGTGGAACGTCAGTATCGTGACACATCTATTATCGTTTCTCTTCCCACCTGCTTTCAACGGGCAGCTCGCTTCTCAGGCAGAACAAGTGTGACTTTGAAGCCAGAATCAAGGATCTTATTTTTATACTCTCAGGCTGGCTACAGGGAATATGAGCACTCACAGACAAAAGAAACCCGTTTCCTACATACTCCCCTCCTCCACCATATCCCTTCAGACTCAAATGACCCCTGTTCGATTCTTGAGATGGTCTTAAGAGGCTAATGTCGGTATTTCTTTATACAGAACCAGAACCGGATTTCAAAGTTGTCAACTGCAAGAGAAGTGAAGGGCACTGTCAAGAATACTGTAATTATATGGAAACCCAGGTGGGTTACTGCTTTAAAAAGAAGTATGCCTGCTGTTTACATCAGAACTGAGCTTGCTGACACAGAAGCCAGAGCGTGGCCCCCTGCCTGCTCTTGGGGTCTTGTCCCTGACCCGGATGGAGAAGGGACTGAGCATGGGGTAGCTGAGGCGTCATCATCTGAGCCTGAGAGTCTGGACATTTTATTCCAACAAAAAGAGAGATGAAAACCAGCCATGCCCGACCTTAGAGAAAGTGACTTAGCCTGACATGGACAAAATCTTCAAAAATCAACAGTTTTTGCTGGTAGATGTGGATATAATAAACTTCAATAGGAAAACATTCAAGTCATTCCTTAATTTGTTTTAAAAATACTTTTTGAGGGGTGCCTGGGTGGCTCAGTCAGTTAAGAGTCCGACTTCAGCTCAGGTGATGATCTCGTGGTTTGTGTGTTTGAGCCCCACATCGGGCTCTGTGCTGACAGCTCAGAGAATTGAGCCTGCTTTGGATTCTGTGTCTCCCTCTCTCTGTCCCTCCCTTGCTCATGCTTTGTCTCTCTCTCTCTCTCTCTCTCAAAAAATAAACATTAAAAAGTTAAAAATAAAATAAAAATAAACATATTTTTTGAGGGGCGCCTCGGTGGCTTGGTCAGTTAAGCATCTGACTCTTGATTTCAGCTCAGGTCATGATACCATGGTTCATGATTTGAGCCCCACATAGGGGCTGGCCCTAATAGCATGGAGCCTGCTTGGGATTCTCTCTCTCTTCCTCTTTCTGCCCCTTCCCCTCTCTCAAAAAAATAAATACATAAACATTAAAAAAAGAGAGAGAAATATTTTTGAGTACGTGTTTTGTTCCTAGGCGCTGGGAAATGTAACAAACTGGAAACATGAATATGTGGGGAGAAAAACATCCAAATAAATTTTAAAAAAGTAAAATGCCACATATTTTATAATGTGAATATATCCAAGACAATACATGGAGCAGATAAATACAAGAGATTTAAGAAAGGATTCCTGGGGAAATGTGAGCAGTGTTTTGGAGGATGAGTAAGAGTCTCCTCTTTGAGGATAAGAGATCATCTGCAGTTTGTGTCTTTGTGTTTCTGTACTGAAAAGAGCATTTTATTAATGCCACTGGGACTAAAGAAGCAGAGTCAGAACTGGGCTTTCCTGGGAATATGAACTCGCAACTCTCTTGAGTCTCATGAGATGAAAATGTGCAAACAGTATCTTCTGTCCCTTCAGTTGAGTAAAAGTCACCCTGGATGAAGACCTACTGCGTCTTTGAGTCCACTGCCTGTGCCCACTGCTGGTGACTCAGAAGTACATTTATTATGACCACTCTAAATTTTCATCTGTCGTGTGAACATTGGCGAATGTCAGGGGCTCCCCACGCCTGTTCCTTTACCCTTCGTCCTCACTGGGGCTCTTCCCTGGGGGCTTCTAATCATCCCCTGAACAATGGGGACTTAAAAGATCTCTACTCACTAGATCCATAGTGAGGAAACAGCAGAATTGCCACGAAATATGTTTAAGTGGAGATTATCTTTAGGCTCAAGGTGATTATTAGTAAACTGTTTATAACTCATTTACAAAATTTTGAGTCCATCATTCTTGTTACACCTTTCATGAGTTAAGAACGCTCTTTGTTCATCACAAGGAAAAATCTTTTTTTTTCTGTTTTCTTTCTTTTTTTTTTTCTGGGAGGGGGTGTCTGTATGAGATGATGGATATTAACTAAGCTTGTAGTAATCATTTTATGATGTATGCAAATGAGATCATTATGCTGTACACTTGAATCTTACACAGTGCTTATATCTCAAACTTCTATCTCAAACTGGAAAGAGGGAGAAAAAAAGATCATCATTTTGGGTGTCAAGGATATCTCAATAAAACATGAAAATAAAGAAAGGAGAGGCTATGTCCTTTAAAAAATATCCTTTGGGGCACCTGGGAGGCTCAGTTGGTTGAGTGTCCAACTTCGGCTCAGGTCATGATCTCATAGTTCGTGAGTTCAAGCCCCTTGTCGGGCTCTGTGCTGACAGCTAGCTCAGAGCCTGGAGCCTGCTTCAGATTCTGTCTCCCTCTCTCTCTGCCCCTCCCCTGATCATGCCCTGTCTCTCTCTGTCTCAAAAATAAATAAAAGTTAAATTAAAAAAAAATCTTTTGTGAGATTGTAATGTATGGGCTCCACCTGGGTTGCAATAAAGATTCCGTGGCTCATACAGACCCCTCCATTCCCAGAGGTGCATAGAGCGGTGCGTAGACCTCTTCCCAGAATGCTTCTGTTCCAGATTTCTTTCTGGATAAACATGTTCTATACTTAATTCACACAGAGACACACTCGCACGAGGATGATACTTCAGGGACAGGGCAGGTACTGTGAAAACTGGTACTTGCATACGAAACCAGAAGCACTGCCTCACTGACTCAGTCAGTTACTGTGCTTCTCAGAAACGACCAACTTTTCAACAGATGCCAAGTTACAGTTATGCAGAATGAGTAAGTTCTAGACATCCACTGCACAACATCGTGCCTGTGCTTAAAATACTGTATTGTGCACGTAAACGTTTCTTCATAGGAGTAAGTCTCATGGTGAGTGTTCTTACTTCAATTGAAAAAAAGGTAATTGTTCTCAAGAAATAACAGAAATAGTTTGAGAAATTTTTTAAAATAAATCTAAATTTCAAACTAGAACACTTATCTTAGCAAACTATGGTATATCTACTTAAAGGGATGTTATATATCCTTCAGTTATAAAAACCATAAAAACCAATGAAAAAAACATAAAATGCATAATATTTCAAGACAAATTTTCTCTTAGAAAACACAAATTTTCATATATCTGATGTAAAATTAATTGGCAAAGTATGTCCAAAAGTATGCCGAAAAGCAAAAAGAATAATGATGATTTTGGGTTCCAATGTTAAGATTTTTGGAGATTTCTAATTATTTTAGCTTTGAAAATACCTTGTCAAGTTACTGTATAACTCTTACATTTTAAATATACATTAAAAAAGACAAATAAACGTGCCTAAGGATAAATACGTATGTACATAAACAAAGGCAAACTTTGACTGTGGGCAAAGACGTTGCATCAAGAAAGTCCTAAATCTAACATCAGAATTGCTGGGTATTAAGACTATAAAACACTAAAGCAAGTTGCCCAAAGAGATTTTGGGATTCAGAAGAATCAGAGCACAACTGATATTTTTCTACCATCTGCAGGAATTTTTACGGTTCCGCTTACGGACCATGGAATGGACCCCGTGGCCCCTCGAGGGAAGTTCCGAATCAGCAACTCAGTAGGTTACGCTTGCTTTGTTCTTTTCACAGAAGCCTGTTTAATGGAGGCTCCTGAGGACGGGAGGCGTTGTGGACACCAGCTGTACCCCTGGTGGGAAGAGACCCTTCAGCCAGAAATCGCTTTAGGTCCTACAGGGCCAGTCATACCACGCGTGGCTGCCTCCACCTCTCCCCTCCACGCCCACCTTCACACAGTGTCCTGCCTCCCACTGCACCCCCGGACCTTCTGTGAGTTTTGATCCCTGTGACGCATCCATCCCCCGGAGCGACCTTTTGTCGAGGAATCTATTTTCTCCTCCATTCCTCTGGTCTGCGGGGGTGGGAGCCAGGGAGACAGGCTTAGTCAATCAAATCTCCATTTGGCTTCCTTGATTTTAATAACAGTCACACCAAGTTTTTTCTACCTGTCCACACAGGTGGTGGTCACTATAGCTTGCAGGTTTGGGCTGACTCAGTTTATCTCTTGGGTCACAGGAAACTACCTTACTGGACCCAGGGAGTCTCCTTGTCATAAAAACAAAAATTAAAATTAGTACGTCCAAATGAAAGGAAACTGAGATCATTAACACAGTGTCTGTCTCTTTCTTGATAGACGAAAAAAAAAAAACCCAGGAGTCAGATGACTAACATTAGCCTTGCTTTTGAGGACAGCAGGGATCAGGCTCTATCCAGCTGCGGCTGCGGGGAAATGACATCAAGCCCAGTTAGGAGGCAGAGGGGTCTGGTTAAATGTCTGTTAGGTCTAAATGCATTGCTCGTGCTCTACTGACTGAGCCAGCCAGGCAGCGGATGCTGTGGTTAAGCATGAGGCTTTCAGGAGAGCAGGAAAGTGTCAGAGTCTGTTTTCTCTCTTCTGTCTGCCTCCTATGGGCCCCCTTTGTGATTTGCCTCCACTTTGCTCTTCTTTTCTCTGGCGACGCTAAGAACATCCTTAGAGAATTCACTGCTGCCTCCTACCTGTCTATGCAAATAGACAGTTATTATTATTATTATTAATGGGCCAGTTATTATTCCTGTTTCATTGTAGGACAAAATAAGGGTAGAAAGTTAAGTGATCCAACCCAAATCAGGTGGCAATCAGATGACATATCCAGGATGCTAACCCAGGTCGCTTCAAGGCAGAAAAGTCCAAATGCAGGCTTGCTTGCTTTCTCTTTTCTTTCTTTCTTTCTTTCTTTCTTTCTTTCTTTCTTTCTTTCTTTCTTTCTTTCTTTCTTTCTTTCTTTCTTTCTTTCTTTCTTTCCTTCCTTCCTTCCTTCCTTTCTTTCTTTCTTTCTTTCTTTCTTTCTTTCTTTCTTTCTTTCTTTCTTCCCTCCTTCCCTCCTTCCCTCCTTCCCTCCTTCCCTCCTTCCTCCCTCCCTCCCTCCCTCTCCCCTCCCTCCCTCCCTCTCTCCCTTCTTTCTTTCTTTCTTTCTTTCTTTCTAGCTTTCTTGCTTTCTTGCTTTCTTGCTTTCTTCTTTCTTTTTGGTCTTCCACGGCACTGATATTTCTAAGAGAACACACCTTTTTTTCTCAGAACGTTTCTTGGCCACAACCTCAGAAAGATGGACACTGGCCAGGACAAGAGCTTAAGCTCTGGGGAAAGGCACTTTCCCTGCAAGAGTGTGTAACTCTGTGAGTCCCAGATGCCAAGAGATGTGGGTGTGTGAGCAGAGGAAATCACACTCACCAGGAATGCTGATACTTGGGTCCTAGTCACAACTCTAGTAATAAGTGTGTTGATGCTTTGTGTAACTCCTGACGAGCATGGGGGGTAAACATGTCC